AAGAAAGAAAGAAAGAAAGAAAGAAAGAAAGAAAGAAAGAAAAGAAAGAAAAGAAAAGAAAGAAAAGAAAGAAAGACAGACAGACAAGACAGACGGGCACCTGGGTGGCTCAGTGGGTTGAACATCCAACTTTGGCTCAGGTCATGATCTCACGGTTAGTGGGTTTGAGCCCTGTGCTAACAGCTCAGAGCCTGGATCCTGCTTCGGGTTCTGTGTCTCCCCTCTCTCTGCCCCTCCCCTGCTTGCACTGCCTCTCTCTCTCTCTCTCTCTCTCAAAAATAAAAACATTAAAAACAAAAAAGCAAAAAATTTGTGACTGTATGTGGCATACAAAGCCAAAAATATTTCCTACCTGGCCCTCTTACAGAAAAAGCTCGAGCCCCCTGCACCGACAGGCCCTGTGGGCCACAGGAAGGCCTTTCAAGACAGGGTTCTAGCTTGACGACAGTAAGACTCAGAGAGGGGGTGACATGACCTGTCTTAAGGGATCGCTGTTGGACATGGATGACAAGAGGGAGAACATCTGAGGCTAAGGCAAGAGAAGCCAAGGAGGGCACCAACCAACAAGCAAAAAGAACAGTGTTGCCACATGCAGGGATGGGGATTTACCCGCAATGCTGGAATTACTATTACTTTCTTACAAAAGACCTAGAACAATGTCACAGAACATTAACAGCTACTCTGTTAACTCTGAGTAACAGGAACATGAGTGTTTCACTGTTTCCCCTACTTTTCTGTGTCTTTATAGACATCCATCTTATCTCTTTCCCTTCACCTCTGCCTCGGCTGCCCAGTCCCCACGCCTCTGCGACTCTCCCCGGAGCACCTGCCCAGCTCCTACTCCCGGACACCCTCCCCTCCTCCAACCCATTCTCCACTTGGTGGCCAGGAAAACTCTCCTTAAAAGGGCAGGGGGTGCAATGGTGAGGCATGTGGCTTCTGGGGCCGGAACACGTGGCCTCGAATCTCTGCTCCACCCCTTACTATAGCTGTGACATCCAATGCAAGTCGGTTAGCTTCCCCACACCTCTGGTTTCCATTTCCATCTGTAAACGGTGGGTAATGTTAAGCGTCTAACAGGGTTACCGCGAACATTAAGATACAATAAAGCACACAGGACGGAGCCCCAACAGCCGAGAGCATTATGTAAACATCGGCTAAAATTATTGAAACAGAAGTCAAATATCACTGCCCTGTTTAAAATCTTGCATTGGCTTCGTGAATCCCTTACCCCCTGAGGCCACTCCTTCCAGCCCCGCCCCCTGGCACTCTTCCTCCCAAAGGCTTCCCCTGCCTCTCCCCCCAAGTCCCTCCACCCCTGATGATTTCCTTCAACACACTCAGCATAACTTGTGATTATTTTATGTGTCTGTTTACCTTTCCTGTCTGTCTCCCATCTAAACAAAAGCTCTGGGAACGCAGGAAATTCATCTGCCTTATTCACCGCTACTCAACCTTGTGCCAGGAGCAGTGCCTGGCATTTTGGTAGAGGCGCTATCACTATCCGTTGAACAAGCGTTCAAGAACACGCTCTAAGCATACTCTGAAAACACCCATCATGTCACCTCTTAAACATTAAAAGACCAGTAATTTCCTGTGCCTTGACTGGAAATACAGATAGCATATTTTATAACTTTCTACATTTAAATCATTTTTTTTCTTTCTTTCTTCTTCTTTTTTTTTTTTTTTTTTTTTTTTTAGTATATAAAAATACTTCAGGACACCTCAGTGACTCAGTTGGTGAAGCAGCCAACTTTTGATTTCAGCTCAGGTCATGACCTCACGGTCATGGTTTGATCCCTCCATCAAGCTCTGCTTAAGAGTCTCTCCCTCTTCCTCTCCCCTGCCTTCACTCTAGCTCTCTCAAAAAAAAAACAAAACAAAAAACCCTCTCAAAAAGGATGTTTTCTTACCAGCATACTATTTTTCTGTGTGAAATGGCTTTCCAATTTTGGAAGAAGCAGAAATAAACTTTTTTGAATTTCAAAAAAATAAAAAGGCACAGAGCGACGGCTCCACTGCACCTTCATTCTCCACCTGCTCAGTTCCCATTGCCCTCCCCCAACAGGGAAAGCTAATTCTTGGTTCCTTATTTAACCTTTCCGAGAATTTTCGCACATACACAAACACTTCCGAAAAAAAGAAAAGAAAAGAGAAGAAAAGAAAAGGAAAAAGAAAAGATGGTAGCCTACAAAGCACACTTTCCTGCACTTTGTTTTTGTAACTTAGCATTTTGGAGATCTTTCCAGATCAATTCATAAAGTGGTTCCTCGTTCCTGCTTACAACTTCATTCACCATCTGGGTATGAGATTTACCCGATGAGTCTCCTGTGGATAACCTGGGTTATTTCTCATCTTTTACTACCACAAACAATGCAGCAAATAATCGTGTACCTACAGCATCTCCAACATGCACAAATACCTGCAGATTAAATTCCTCGAACTGTTACTGCTTGTTCAAAGGATTTGCACACTTGCAATTGTTTAAAAAGCTGCTGCTGCCCAACATTGCTGCATCTATTGGGATCCATCCAGAGAAACAGAAGAAGGCCCTCTAGGGATCTCAAGCGGAGGACGTTTCATACAAGGAGTTGGTTACATGCGTGATGCAAAAGCTGAGAAGTCACACGGAAGATGGTAAGACAACCAGAGACCGCAAGAGCAAGAAGCTGATGCCACCTCTAAGTTGGAGGACCAAACGGAGGAGGGATTTCCAAAGCTCAGGGAAATGGGCAGGCGCTGGAGGCAAAAGGAGACCGTGCAACGGCCACAGAGACGGTCTGAGGCCAAACGTAAGGAGGAGAGAACCTGGTTTCCCCCTTCCTGTAGCCATCCATCTCTCCCACCACCCACCAGAGGCTCCCACCACCCAAACCTAGCTGCAAGCCAGCTGACCCAAAGGTCTGGGAAATGTTGCCTGCAGGGGTGACTCTCTCCGCAGGGGAAGGCCAAGCAATGGACCTGAGCCAACAGGACCCAGGCTGTCTCTGTAACTAATTTACCCTCCCACCGCCAACAGATGGTTTCAAAGGTGGGGGGTCCTTGCTTGGCTGACAGGTGAAAGGTGGGTTCTCAGCCTGGTCTTAATCTGTATTTATTTCATTATGAGTGAGGCGGAGCACCTTCTCACATGAAACACACGCTTATAATCCTCATCTACACTGACTGGGGGTGGGGAGGGGAAAACCAGCAAAGTCCTTCACGTCATCTGCCACAGATGGTCCATTCGGGAACATCAATCAGGCACATTCCCAAACTGAGTTAAGATGGTGGCAAGGAGCCAAACTAGCCAGTCACCTGCCAAATAGAGGCAAATCTCAAGAACTGTTCTAGAAAAACCGAAAGGCAATAAAGCCCCGAAGGAATTAAAAATACCTTAACTGCACTCTGGGCACACTGTAAGTAACAATGTGTTCTTGTAATCTTGTAACCAACCCCCCAACGTGTTCCTCCTTAGAACTGCCCTCCAACCATTCAGATCACCACCCTGTGCCCTTATCTTCCACGGAAAGAACAAATACTACTACCCTAGACAAAAATTCAAGTTATAAAAATACCAAGTAAGAATCATTTTTAAAATCTCTTAGCCCTACAAACACATTAGCAAAAAAAAAAAAAAAAAAAAGCTCTTAAATGATCTCTCCTGCCTGTGTAACTGCCATTTGCACAGATTATTTACCCTATCTTGTAAACAAGTTGTAGCTGACTTCCCCATGTAGGGTTCAAAGTTCTCTACTCTAAAAATATGTACACAAAAGTTATGTTTTACGACTGGCTGGCAAACGACTGGCAACTGAAATTATTCTCTTTCGAAGGGCTGAACTTTATTTTTAAAAACGTGAATTTTAGGGGCACCTGGCTGGCTCAATAGGAAGAGCATGCGACTCTTGATCTCGGAGTGGTGAGTTTGAGCCCCACGTTGGGTGTAGCAATTAAACATCTTTTTTTTTTTTTTTAACATGAGCTTTAAAGCAAAGAATTTTTTTTTATCTAAATGGCAGTAATAACTGTAAAGAACTTTAAAGAGGTATATTAACTTCAAAACCTCCCCAAATAGTCAAATACAAGCACATCAAATGTGTATCATAATTGCTATACAATAATTCTTATTTCAAAACTCTAAGGCTTTCATTTACCCAAAAACATATTTATTCTAAGATTGCCAAATTTATTTTTAAGTGTCTCCTATAATTCAAAGAAGATAATAAACCTTATCAGTAAAGGTTAAAAGTTATTTTCCGGCACCTACCATGCTGCTGGGCATTTTAGTAGACAAATAAACAACTGGTCATTGACAATTGTTCTAGTGGATTAAATGGTACGTTAAAAGCAATCACACCCTTTTCCCAATGCACAGGGTTTTTTTTATAAGGTTTTTCTTTCATTTGAATTTGAAAGTAATGCATATCATTCCAGAAACTTGGAAAACAGAAAAACGTTACATTCACATTACATTATGTTGCTTCCACCAGGACATATAAAGCAACTGCTTGTTTCTAATGGTTCTACCATTTCATCAATAAACTTCCCATAATTTACCTCACCTTCCTCCTATCGGGCGTTGCCATTTCCGATTTTCTACTACTACAAATGGTATCACGCACATCTTTGAGCATGACATTTTTGAAAACCTCTCTCCCGGGAATACAATCTGGAAATCAGTAGCCCAGAGAAAGTTTTAAGACTTTTGATACTTAATAACATCCTTTGCTACAGTACTCAAGATCTGTAAACTGCTGGGCCACGCTGACTTCCTTTTCTAATCTTTATATCTGCTTTTACCTTCAAACCGTCTCCATGTCTTTATTCACAGGAGTCGGAAACGCCTTCCAAACAAAAATCGCCAAGCCGGCTGCCTACCTTGACTCTGATGTCAAATGCTTAAACGTGATGCCTGTTTACTCTGTAAAAGGGAAAAACTGCTGTATGCCTGTTGTGTTACCCAAGTTGTGACAGGCAGGAGGCAGGGGATCTGGGGAGAATCCATCGCTTAGACTCTTCAGGCAGACAGCCTGGCTTGTAGGAGGCTCTGCGACTCGGCTCCTTCTTTCCACAGCACTTTCTTTCGAAAAACAACACACCCACTCGATGCCACAGTGCTATCCCTAGCTTTAACTATGAGAACTGAATTCGACAAATGCCACCAAGCCTGCCAGCTTCCCACGATCACAGT